AAAAAAAAAAAAAAAATTGTTCATTTTTTCCTTCATTTTTAAAGTCTAAATTATTTTGAAAAATGAAGGGCAAATATAAAAGCGATGAGGACGCACGAAGAACCCAGGAGAACAAGAAGTGAGCAAAAAAAAACAAGAATTTTGTTGTTTTTGTTCATCTTTCAACAATGCTTTAAAAACCACTAAACAAATAAATTTTGGTGAAAAATTCAATTATATCAAATTTAAAAAAAACCATCTAAAAGGAAGTAAAAGCAAAAAAAAAAAAACTTGATTATCTGGGTTGTTATGTGAAACACTTGCAAAACAAAAAATGTTTTTTCTTTTTTTTCCTTGTTCTCAGTAATGGAAGTTGATTTTTATGAAAAACAATAAAAGATTCTAAAGCCTTTTTGTTTTTTCTTTTGTACGATACTGACCAAAGAAATAAGGAATGCAAATTAAGGGGAGAGTGGAATGGGGCAGAAACAGATGACTGGCGAAAGCAATGAGGGGAAGTGGGAAGGAGGAAAAAGGAAGAAAATAGGGCGGAAGGGGAAAAGTTGCATCTTTGACAACAACGATAACAATTTTAATTCTGCTGCAGTAATACTGCTTCAATTGTTTTTGTCTGCAAAAAATTGGTACAAATATTTTGCTAAAAAAAAAATTAGTACTAAAACTATGGTCTTAGTATGTATAGTTTGTTATCTGATTGTTAGCTTAACCAATTTTATTAAAAATCAATTTTCTGTTACTAATGCTTATCAGTTGAGTGTTTGAAGACGATGAGTCACAGACAGCATTTTGGTCTCCATCTTGTTTTTTTTTTTTTTTTTTCGCTTTTATTTTCTGTTTCTTTGAAGACAATGAAATATGAGAGGAGGAGGTGATAGTGGTAACGGTGGTGGTGATTTGGGAAAAGGTTAAGAATTATAATTTTGATTGCCCTTTTCCAATTACTCTAAAAAAATCATCTTTCAAAATTTTATCTATCATCTTACTGATAATTGACGATTAGCGATTAGTAGCAGTGGTGTTTTGTTGCTGTTGGTAACGTTGATTAGCTGGTAAAAATTGCAGTATTTGCTACCAATCGCTATGGTCGTCGTTGTTTTGTTGTTGCTATTTCTGTTGCACTGTTTTAGACAATGATGATTATTGTCCTAAAACTATGTATCAGAAACAGTTGTTTGGTGATGGTGGGTTAACAAAATCAGAAATTTGCCGGTAAGGGAATTAGGGATGGTATAAGTTGTGCAGATGCATCTGGTGTTGTCCTTCAGTACAGAACTAAGTTGATTAACATTTGCCAAAAAAAAAAAACAATAAAGTTTATAATAAAATATTTATTCTCAAAATTACATTTTTTTTTTCTCATGCGAGAAACTGCTTGCAAACCAATTATAATAATTGTGTTTTTAAGTAAACTGTTATTGTATACTTACAAATTTATTTTGTTGTTGTTACTGCTGCTGCTGCAGTTATTATCCTTTTTGCCGTCTTAGCTGTCGCCGTTGTCGTTGTCACTTTCGGTTTAGTATTTTTATTGTCAAATAACAATTTTTTTTTAACGTGTTAACAATTTTTTTTTAACGTGTTTATAGATGGGAGAAAAAAATTAGCAGCAAGAAAAGAAGAGAAAAAATTGGGCATTTTCATTTTTATTTTTTTTTGCAAATCTGTTAAATGTACAGTGTGTTTTCTGCTGATTTATTAAGCAGAAAGGATAAAAAGCTTTTGAAAACTTCTATGTATAAAAAGTTATAGGTGAAAAAATGAGAACTATGGGGAATAAACTTTTAATATTAATAAGTTGACTAACGATGTAAGAAGTTACTAAATCTGTTGATTTGCCAATGTCCTTACCCTTATTTTATGCCCGCTTTGATATTGTCATAGTCGATGTTTCGACGGCTGCCTTTGTCGTCGACATCCGCTTCATGGTGGTGGTTGTCGTTATCGTTTCGTCAAGTTAAGTCTTGTTGGTTACGT